GTTAGCTCCTCCCCCTTTACGAGTGGCGCCCCTGGTTACAGGAAGCGTCGGGTTTGCGGCAGCGGGCTCGCGCTGTATCTCCTAACAGAGCAAAGTAGAAGCAGATCCTGCAGCGATCCTGTGCGCAGCTAATCGGAGGTTAGCGCTGCTTCTAATAAAAGCGTCACGAAGCCTCCTTCACTCTGCTGTGGGTGAAAACACGACTCGATAGAAAACGGCTGCTTCCAAATATCATACGATCGACTGTTTTCCCTCGTGCTGCGTCAGGAAAAGAGGCGAAACGTAAAGGAAACATCACTGCATCACGTGTTCGAATAACGCCACATCTGTTAAAGCAGCTGTGGCGTCCTCGCGGTGGTGGGGGCCATCGGTCGGACACGAACGGAGAGGTTTTGGTCCTCGTGGTGGAATCGGCCTCGTTCGCTGAAGCCGTTTCTCACCGCCGTCTTTCAGCGGCGTCTCCAAACCTTTGTGAGGAAGTCAGCCGCGGGGTTAATGCTAAGAAAGCTCGAGGGCCAAAAGGCTCGCAGGCCTTTAGCGCCACTTTAGCCGGGGCTCCAAACGCTGAATGGAGCGGTCAGTCAAAGCGATTAGCGTCTTTGTCTGGAGCTAATCCCGCCGCGGTTTAGAAGCCATTCAGAGTTTAAGCCTCTCCGCTCGCTCCAACGCTCCGAGGAACCGAGCGAGACGCCGCTTTTTCAGCTCGCCTTACACGCGGAGCGAGTTCCCATGAACACTGGCGTTCCAGCCCCAGCCGGGTGTTTGGGAAACTCATGCAGACACGGTGGAAGAGCACGGATACTGGAGGAGTTTCTGATTTAATGGAAACAGCCGCTAACACACCTGCTCGGTTTGACTGATCGATCATGGGCTGGACGATCCGCCGCCGCGCGTTGATGAACCTGAAAGTCAAAGAAGAGAAGTCAGAGTTTGTTTTTAGCAACAACAACAAACTCGTTACTGATAAACTGCTTCAGGAACATCCACCCAGCAGCTCAAACTGGCTTCACTGGAAACTCTGGTTTAAATTTTACCATCATTGACGCAAACATGGAGGCCCCGACGCAGGCGTGACCTGTTACTGTGCAAAACAAATGTCTAAAATCCAGTTTGGACATTTTTAATGCAGAACAGAAACTGTGTTTAACATGATCAGCACAAATCAATCGATCACTTCCTGGAGATTAACCAATGGGAAGCCGTCAGAGAGCACTGGCCACGTCTCCTAAATACACTCTTAAAGCCATCATCCTGGTATGCGTGACCTCCGACCCGGCACCTCCTGTGACCTCCCCAGCTACTCCCATTAGTCACCCCCCCCGATTCTGGTCTTCCTCGACTTAAAGACCTATGTAGCCCCCCCGGCCTCAAGTAAAAGCTC